AGCCATTTTACCCAACCTGGGAGTTGTTCTTATATCTACCGCATGCCCAGTAAACCGAGCAAGGACAAAGTAGCACAAAAAGCCTAGTCTTGTTATACTTTTGATACAATTGTGAGTGTGAAGGCATAAAAGCTAATGTATAATATATGTATTCCAAATAGATTAATACTTACGGGACCTATTGCCACAATATCTTGAAGGACATTTTGGCGTTACATCCAGCTCATAAGCAAAGTACTTTCCACAATTTCTAACTCGAATTTTATTGCTGTACTTGCATGTGTTATTACTCTGATGGTAACAGACGTTTCTGGTGATAATTCCCTGGGATTGACTCGGATGAGATCCATTCATCCATCCTGGGAATGATGTGCCACATCGCTGTTCAGGAACACTGGATGATGCTATCCTTGTCCCTGCTTGTCCTCGAAAACGGTACCAACCAGCATGAAAATGAGGCGGCTGGTCRCATTTTGGGACGTTGCCTGTAGATACGATGTYTGAACGATCAGCTTCATTCAAGACTTGATTGTGTGAGCAGCCTGATATCGCTGTGACAGAGAGAGACAAACGTTAATACGTTAAATGTAAATGTTTTGTTTGTTTCCTTGATTTCGGTTTAGTTGTTGGTTGCTAAAAATACGTTTTGTGGTAAGAAATTGAGTTGAATGGACATACACTGATCCCGAAATATACCTTTGCACAGAAAACTCAATTCCTTATTGCAATCATTGGTGGTCCACAAACYATCATTAGTGTTCATTGCCACACAACTCAAAGCTCTACTTCCAGGCTCTCCCGGTTTCCATCGTGTATATGAAGGTGAKGTTCCATCAGACCAGCGAAAATTAGATGCATTTTCACGATTGTTCAAGCCAATCCAAAAGCGCTGTGAGGAAAACGGTTTTATTAGGCCGAAGATGAAACTTTGTTCTGATGAAGTGGTGATGSTAGCAAGATGGCCACCAAGTGATAGACACAAGYCYTCAGCATCAACCCAGTTTCGTCCAGTAAATGTGAAACTGGTCAACTTGGGCCTGTAGCAGAATCCTTCATATGTTTCCCATCCGTTAGGGCAGTCTGTAGATAAAAATGATAGTCATGTAAGGTGGATAGTTGAAGAATATTGTAAAAGATTATTACGGACAGGTACGTCTTAACGCATCTGTAAGTACGTTAACTTATCATCGGTTTGCTAAATTATGCATGTCATTCATTTAAAAAAGCTAGCTCAATCTAGCTTAAAAATACTCGACCATTATTCAAAACCATGAAAATACAGTTAAAAAGTCTGTTTTCAAAATGTAAAAGCTAAAAACAAAAGATAACAAAAGTCTAAGCTCCTCAACTACTCATCTAACCGAAGGATTCAAACCTTGCGGCTGTATCCAGGATTTGTAATTGGTTGGGGGAGGGGGAGTTTGCATTACGACTTCACTACGGACAAAGTGTGTAATTCATTAAAAATTCAGTTTTTGATCACGTGATTTTACGCGCATGCGCAGAAGGACTCATGGACGCCATATT